TGTGGGCATTGAAATGTTTTTTAGTTTTTCTTGGTTTTGTGCTTCCAAGGCAAATGGTATAATGTGTGTTCTATTGTAATAAATCACGACTCTTTGCTAACGGAATGGTCTGAACTCAGAAAGTGGGTGAATTGTGCCCTCCAGTGGCTGAATGGTGTACTGAAACCACAGCTGAACAAAAGCTTCAGCAACTGTTGCTAAGTAACCTCAGGTCATTGGTTCCCTCCTGAATTTTTTTCATTCTTATAAAAAGAAGGATTGTTGAGTTTGGGAGTAAGTCATCAGGAACATGGTATTGTGTCCATGGTTTGTTACTGAGACCGAGTGGCTGCTAGCAAAGAAATTCCTTTTGTCTTTGTTTGCAATCCTTGGCTACTTCAAAGCTTCTGTTCCACAAGCAACTGCTTGCTAAGCTGAGAAGAACCAAAGTCTGTGCTTCCTGATTAGCTTACACTTAGGACGGAGTTCTTTAAACACTTCTTTAAAGGATGAAAAGCAGGAACTTGTCCAATAAATGTGTATGCACATGTTATACATATGTAAGATATTTTGTTGTAACATGTATAAAATGTCTTCAGTGCCTATTAACACAGGACTAAATAAATCATGCACGTTCAGGTAATGAGATGGAATGAAGCTATAAAAAGGCAAGAGGCAGCTCCATGTTTTCATATAAAAGGGCTCAGTGAAGAAACTGAGGTGTTGAACAGGTGAAGATGCTACATTTACATTACGAAGGGAAGAATTCATGGTTGTATCCAGGTATACAACCACATATAGGTAGATAGATAGACACATGGACATAGATAGTCTAAATCTATATTTAAATAGATACAGTTAGTCTATATAGTCAGAAACTGAAAAAAATGGGTGCCTTCATGGTCAAATATAGGCATGAGGCTTGAAAGTACACTATTTTCATCTGGTTTGTTCACTGTTATTTCTCCAATGTATTGATCAGGGGCCTAGCACATTGTAGGCACTCAATATTTATAGAATAAATGAAAGAATAAGATCAACTATCATCTATCTATCAATCATCTCTATCTATCTATCTATCTATGCCCAAGACTTGGTTTTACCAGGCTTAGCAAGCATTTGTTTGTGGAACAGAGGCTTCTATAAGCAAACCATTTTGCACACATATATGGGTGGTTTCCAAAGATGGGAATTGGATAGTTGGAAGTCAGGAGCAGGGGAGAGATTTTTTCACTCTGTGTGCTTTAGCACCTTGAAAATTTTGAATCATTGGAACAAGCTACCTATTCCAAAGTAAATAAAATGTAAACAACTAAGGAAACAATAAAGAATAAGAAGGCACTTTTTGATAATGACTTAATTAAAGCATTATTTTGATGGAGATTTAGAGACAAGGGCCAAACATGTCAGAAACTACGAACCATTAATGAGCAATAGCACTGCAGTGAGTACTTACAGCAGCTAAAGAGCACTGCACCATAAAGACCACTGTCCTTACATGGAGAAGTGTCACTGCGATGCAGATTCGTAATAGACAAGGACGCATTCCTTGACAAGTCTACGGTGCTGTACATCGGGGTGCACACTGACACTGCTTCCAAATCAGGTGGGTTAGATGGTGTGCCCCTCTGCACCGAGGTCCCCATTGACCTTTGGATGACCCTACACACTGGAGGAACTCGCTGCGGGTGGATAGACGTTTCCCTTCCGGGTGGAGGAGAAGCTTTGACTCTTAAAGGAGAGTGGTAGGCCACAAGAGTGCTGCCCCAGTTTTTAGGGTGAGACTGGACATCGTAGGCACAACCACTCTGCTCCCAGCACAGAGAAGATCTGCTCTGAATTTAGAGTTACTTGGACATAAAGTAGGACTCCATTTCCTTGGACAAAATTAAGTCCCATTCACATATATTCACTGTGCCCCAACTCTCCCTAACCACTGCATCCAGAGTTATTTCCAGTTCATTCCTTTCCACAGAAATTTTATTCGCTAAATCACAACCCCTGACATTCCCTTGTGAATAGTTCCTACATCCATCTGATGCCATTCTTTTTCTCCCATAGGATGTAAATCTGGTATTTCTTAAAACTCCACTCCAGTATGGGAGGCACCTCCTTGTTAAGCCAGATCAGACTTCTGGTTTGAGAACATTTTGAATAGGAGGAAGCTTGAAAACAGCTAATTATCCATCAAAGAAATCATGTTCCAACTGCACGGCCCTCCATAATTGGATAAACAAGACCTCAGCGGCTCTTGGGGGCTGGGATGAGAGATGAAAACACACTTTATGTGGTTTTCTTTAATGTAATCACTAAAGGGACGGCACGGAGCTTAACAAGCTCATTACAACTTCTGCGCCTGTGATCTCTGCACCCCCCCCAGCCCCCTCCTGGCCCTGTGGCAGCCACAGGAGAAAATGCCCTTGTAGGCTGTGCTGGACCTTGGCTCCGACTCACGCTGTGTTCATTCTGCTCCCACAAGAAGGCAGCTGGCACCTCAACCACCAGCTGTTGGGTCACATGAAAAATAAGCCAGGAGTTGGTTCAAATGTGTTCCTAGGCCAACAGTAGTGTTTGAAAATTCTGGACGTGGAAACAGGAACACCAAGTTCAGACTTGGATAATCCTTTTTTACCGAGGGAATTTCTCCAGCTGTTTTCCACTTTCAGAGTTGCTGGTGATGTCTCAAAGTCACTTGTCTGGATCTGTCTCAGAGGACAGCAGTCTAGCTCTAACCTCCAACCTATGAAGGTTGGATGAGGCCTGGAAGAGGACCAGAGGCTCTGATTTGGGAGACCCAGCCACTCCTGAGATCAGCACCCCTTGATCTATAGATTCATCTTTCTCATGAGAGCAGATGTTTGTTTTATGGATGCCCAACCCTTGGGAGGCTTAAGCAGTTCTATTATAACTGATCTAGAGTCTTTTCTTAAAGCGATTTGAGTAAGACAGAGGCACCTGGGAGCAGCACTCACATAAGCTCTAACTTGAATGCCCCTCATAGTACACTGTGACCCTGACTGGGGACACTTAAGGGGCAGGGTGAAGAAAAGAGGCACCTGAAGAAGTGGGAAGAAGGTGAGGCTAGTGCTATCCCTACCAAAATGATAACAGTCTCGGAAGAGAAAAGACCAAGCCTCACCAGGACACCACAGTGTAAAAGACTTGAGAGATCTTTACTTGAAAGAGACTTTTCTTTAGCAGGGAGGGAACAGAGAAGCCATGAGGTTGTAGGTTTTTTGAGGGGGGTAGTAAGGAAGGAAGAACTGACAGAAATGGGGAGGTGAGTCACCCAAGGCTCACTTAGGCAAATTACCACTCAACTTGATTCAGATCTACCTTGATTCCTTCTGTTTCCAGTTTGTGCATAGAATCGAGGTCTAGGAAAGGGAGAATTAGTGTAATCTTGTTTTTTTCGTCAAGATCAACCGATTCAAGCACTATAAAGCTTGGGAAGACTGAAGAAAAAACACTAAAAACTTAACTACAGCACAAGAGGTTTAGACTAAACCTCCTAAACTCCTGCAAGTTTTCATGGAGTAAGATTCTGAACCAAGTTAATTATATCTCTTTCCTTAAACAGGCTATGAAACATGGTAACCTGTGAGCCAAGCGAAGGCACCACCACCAAACTAGAGGGAAGTATTTTCTGTCATTTCCATGAGTAAAGACTTGGTTTCTTTTCTAATGGGCTGACCTTGGCCTTCCAATGGTATCCAGTACAGCTAAAGAACATCCACTCTGTACTTGTGGCTCTGTTTCTCATGCTGTCAAGTCGGGTCCATGGTAATCTGCCCAGACTTGTCCTCCTCAGCACTCCTACATTTCTGAGGCACTCAGGGCACTAGTGCATTCCAAATCCCGCTGTGATGTAATTAAGGGATAATGTTTGCAGCAAGGAGTAGAAAGAGTTGTCAGTGACTCCCATGGGTGATTAAGTGCTGAGGGAAATCGAGTAACAATGGAATGCAATAAATACAAGTTTATCCCAAGCCACAAAGCATTTTGTTTCCAATTATAGGATAAGGTTTCTGAAACATACAAACACAGCATCTATGAGCAAACATCTTCACGCCTTCATTTTCCTTTAGGGACAGGGAACTGAACAAGTGCCCCTAGGAAGAGGCTGGAAATGAGGATGGAAAACAAGGAAGGATTAAGTGGGGGGAAATACTTGTGTACATCACAGATTGTCTGACTAAGTAATTTCTCTCTGTTTCTCACTGTAATTTTTACCTCAATGAAGCATTCACTTGTCTTTTCTGGGCCTCAGTTTTGTGAATCTGGAGAAGTATATGTGTGTCACATGAACTCTGAAGTTTCTTGCCTTGGGCTGGGATGTAACTCAGTGGTACAGTGCTCACCTAGCATGCGTGAAGCCCTGGATTTGATCCCAGCACCAAAAAAGAAAAGACCAAAAAAAACAACAACAACAAAAAAAAACCTCTCTTAAAGTCTCTTGCCTTGCAGCTCCACACAGGTCCTACTGGAAAGTGTGGTGAGCCACTCTTGTTCACTGCTGGCAGGGTAGCAAACTGTGCAATTTTGGAAAAAAGTAGCAATATGAATAAAATTGAAAATGCTGATTACTTATGACCCAGTAATTTTGTTTCTAGGCATATTCCTTAAGGAAACTTTCCCACATGTACCCAGAGAGACAAGGACAACTGCCACTGCACTGTGCTGGTAAGAGGCAGAACGTGAAAAAACGCAAATGTCTATCAATTGTGAGATGGATAAAATACAGTCTTTTCACACAAAGGAATACTATCCAACAGTTAAAAGGAATGACACAGCTCTATATAAATCAGTATTGATATTTTTAAAAATACGAGCTGTTTAGGAGTTCCCTTTGGTTAAATCTGTGACAATTTGACTAAAAAGAAAAAAATAATTAACTCAATACTGAGCCAATATAATTCACGAGCACATAGTAATACTCCAAAAAAAAAAAAAAAGGAAAAATACTAATAAGTGAAAAAGGCAAAGTGGAGTGTGGAGCCATTATGCAAATTTTAAATGAATATAAAAATAATATTGTTTGCTATTCATGCGTGTGTAAAAATCAAAGAAAATGGAAGGACACATAACTTCCTTCCATGATAACAGTGGTGAATGGTCAGCAAAGTAGAGATCAGTGATTGGACACTGGGGATAAAGAAGACTTCATTTAATTAATATGATTTGATTTCATGTTTTATATAAAAATACAGAAACAACAAAACATCATTTCTGGATTGTAGATAAAAGATGCATAATTATTTACTGCATTAAAAAAATCTTCTCAGAATAAAAGTACCTGAGCAGCAATGCTTTTGGCATCTGAGTGCTGACACGTGTTCCTTTCCAGGCCCCGTGGCACTGGGGGGGGCCCCTTTTAGAAATCAAAGCGACCTAGCCTGTAGGCCCAGTTAGCTCCTCGCTCTCCACATGGTAGCCACTAAGCTCATATTGCTATTTAAATGAATTATTACTAAGTAAGATTCAATTTTTTATTTCCCCCATCACACTAGCCACATTTCAAATGCTGAATAGCTAAGTGCTGAATGGGCTAGTGGCTACTGTGCTCGGTGGTCCACGTGTGGAATATTTCTGTCACATTACTGTTTTCCTTATATGTCTTTCTGCACAGAAAAAAAGATAACAGGGTTTTTTTGTTTCTGGTCAGAATATATCCACTATAATCGAAATTGCATTTATGATTGAAGAAGCAACTTCTTGTTAAAGAGAATTAGGTAAACTATCTCTAGAAAGAGATCTCACAATTATTGATAGTTGCATAGATATCACATTTCATTCCCCCACCGCCCCGCCTTAGGAAGGTAGGAAGAGAAGTTGGAGGATTATCCAAACTTGTTATCTCAGAATGTGGGATCATGGGGGGCCTCTGTTTCTTACCTGTACACGGTATGAGGGACATACACTTCTCGGATTGGAAATTCCAAAATCTCTTTGAGTGGACGTGTGCGGTTTTCAGGAAAGGGTCTCACAGGCAACATTTCAGGAGTCAGACAGCAGCTGGTCACCTCTGGAGCTGCAGATATCTCCAGCCTGAGTGAGCCTAAAGAGAGCCACAGGACAGTTTCTTTACTGAGGGAATCTGGGAAGATAACTGTGATGTATTTCTTTTATGAACATAAGGATGAATTGTGAGAGTGCTAGAGTTTTGGAGTTCCCAGCTAATTTTCTATAGAGTAAGAAAAAGCATATCATGATAACTTTTGAGATTTTGTTTCTATAAAATAGGAAACAAGAAATTATAAGATGAATAGGAATGGAGTAGAGGGTCTCTAAATTTCTTTCCAGAACCACCATACTATAATAACACATAGTTAAGTAACTTCCCTGCATCATTATCAGTAAAAACTTGGTGATTTTCAAACCCTGATACCCAAGGGTGCTGCAGAAGTACCTTATGAGGGTAAGGGAGGTGTCTTCACTCCTACCATCAAGGCATCTAGCATTCACTCTTTTTTTCGATGGTTCTGGGGATGAACTCAGTGCTAGGCAAGTGCTCTACTACTTGAGCTCTGTCCCTGGTCCTTTTGTTTTCAGTTGTTGTTTTTTTTACCCCCAGGAAGGGTTACAAGCTTTCACCAGGGGTTGCCTCGGACTGTGATCATCCTATCTCTGCCTCTTGAGTATCGAGTAGCTAGGATTACAGATGAACATCCAGTTTATTCACTTTTAAAAAAAATTTAAATTTGATTTTTGATTTGTATTAATAAGAGGGAATTTCATTGTAATAAGTCCATATATGTGTACAATGTACTTTGAACAAGTTCACCCTCTCCATCATATTCCCATTCCCCCTAAAACAGAGCACAAGTTTTAGGGTTTGTTCTTTGAACTCAGGGCCTTGCACCTGCTAGGCAGGTGCTCTACCAATTGCATCCCCCCCAGCCCTCATTCACACCTTTTTTATACCAGGATTTCATATAATATTTTATTCAATAAAAGAGGCTTCTCTGTTCAAACAGTTATCTAATTATCTGAGAAATGAGACCCAAAGTACATTTGCAGAATCGATCCTTTAAGAAAAATAGAAAACATTAATAGATTGGCCAAAATCTGTTATGCAGACCAGTCCAGATCTTAACTTCAAATGCAATTCTGCACACTAAACCTGGCAAATGATTTTATAAATTGTAGCATTACACAAGCAATGCCAAATGGTAAATGGTCTGGGCACAGCTCAAGAGGATAAAGACAAACCATCCACACCTGGAATTGACTTGACTCTTCTCTGTAAGGATGAAGATCTCTTGTAGTCAGCTAAAAATTTAAACAAGTCTTCATCACTAAGACGATCTCCCTCCTGCCAAGAGAACAGTTGGGGTTAGGGTAGACACAAAAGGATTTTGCTTTTAAGGTTTACTCTAACAAGTCTTGCATAGAAATTGGGATGAAAGGCAACTCTGAAATCATTTAGTTCAACTGCAGTCAGCCATTCCTTCTTAAGCAGCCTGTCATCAGCCCTGCTGGGGACAAGGCTTCTGCTGCATTCCAAGGAAGCCTGTTGGGACCCTCAAGAATCTGGGTCACAGGCTGCTCCCCTAGAACTCCAAGCCACTGATACAAGCTTGACTCACTGGAAGAACACAGAATTGAGTTACTTTTTTCTTCAAAGATCTGAAGATGGAGAAAGCATCTTTTCTCTTTCCTATCTTATTCTCTTCACATTTGCCTTGCATGAGGAGGTAAAGTGTAAGTGCTACCCCTATGTCCCACATGGGACAGGCACTCTGCCAGAGGACACATGCATGATCTCTCATAGTGGTTGCAAAACTCAGTATGGCAGGTAGGTAGACATGTCTCAGTCCCAATGAGAAAAATAAGACCCATCAAACACTCTGTCCCCAAGGCAATACACTGGGGGGAGTGGAGACTGAGTAGAAATCCTTCAGTCCCTCTCTATTTCCATGATGCTGAGCCCTTCAATATCCCTTCTGCAAATCATTTTGTTAATTTGTCCTTTAAATGCCCCACAAAGACTGCTTGAGCTGCAAAACAATTTTCTAAAACAGAGCTAAACCAAGTCTAAGTCAAGTTGTTTTTTTTAAATGGCAAAATCTAAGTAGCATAAAATTTGCCTTCTTGACCATTTTTAAGGGTAAGTTATGTTAAGTACATTTCACATTGTTGTGCAACCAATCTCCAGAACTCTTTCATCTTGCAAAAAAAAAAAAAAAAATCTCAAACACTTAAATGACCTTAAACAACCACTCCCCACCCCCTTTATCTCCACCTCCTATCATTATATTTTCTGTCACTATGAACCTGAGAACTCTAGGGAGTTTTTTATTGTTAAATGTCAATATTTATTGAGCTGATGAGGAACACCATCTGGAATGGCCATTCTCTAAGCAAGAAGGAGTGCTTAGCAAGCTGCCACATGGAACAGTGGTGAGGACAGCCAGATCAGAAAACTCAGAGACCACTGGGGAGATGACATCTTAGCCAGACTGTCTTCATAGCTTGATAAAGGAATTGACCAAGACAGTTCAAGTAAGACACTTTGTATCAATGGGACAAATTCCTCTCTCAGTTGACGGACCTAGCACTCAGCAAGCACCTACTGTACCCCGGGCATCCCAAGAGGACCTTTACATATCTGTGCCACCTAGCCTCCCAGCAGCCAGATGAAGCAAGTACATCAACCCTCTTTTGTAGGTGATGAAACTGAGTCTTGGTGAGGTTAATTAGCTTCTTCTAATTACCACATATAATCCTCATTTGCGCGCCAACACCCATGCCAATACAGGGACAAAGCCAGACTCACTGCAGCATAGAGATACCTGCTTGAAAAAGCTGTTAATGTTCATGGTGGTGGCTTTGAAGTTGGATCCAACGCCATTTTCCTCCAAGGAAAGGGCTCGTTCAGATGGCCGCCTGGATTGGGACAGTCTCCGCTCACCCACAGAGCTTCTCCCTTTAAGGCAAATAATTGTCATTCTAAAATGTACCTTGCTGTTTGAACATACAGCAGTTATTAACTTAACCATAGTTTAGAAGTACATTTACATATGTATGAATATAGCACAATGAAATCCACCAAGAAGTTAAAAAAAGAGGGGGTGAAGGGAGGGCAGTTAAGAGAGAGCAATATAGATAGGGTAAACTTGGTCAAAATACATTATATGTTGTAAATATTATAATGAGGTCCATTTGTACAACTAATATATGCCAATTAATTTTTTTTGGTGATATTGAGGTTTGGACTCAGGACCTCATGCTTGCTAAGCAGGAGCTCTACCACTTGAGTTACTCTAGCAGCCCAATTTTTTAAAAAAGATATATTTAAAGTTGCTAAACATAGCTGTATAATTTGAATGTAATTTTCCCTCCACGGGTACCCACAGTCCCTTACCTATCTTAGTCCTCCTGTTGGAGTCCCTAATCCTCGGACTGGAGTAGAAAGGCTGGAATCAGCTGCACGTCCCTGTCACTGGGGATCAGGGTAGACCAGATGCCACCCAGCAAGAGTCAGGAGTTGCAGTCAAAACAGGGTCTCCCAGTAAGCTTTATTTAGTCAGGCCAATGTTTGCTTTTGTTTTATTTTTACATTTGCATTCCACTGGGAGAGGCATGTACTCAAATACCCCTGAAGGCATCTGGAGTTGTAACCCAAGCATGCCAGGGTCAGCCTGTGCACATTCTTGATCCAGCTTGCCTCTATTCTGTTATATGGACCAGGTACCAGAACTGAGTTTCTGCCTCGGTTGACCTTTCTTATGTGGATCTACAGGCCAAGGACCTTGAAACTCTGCTTAGTTGTTTCTTCTCCCATCTAAGGATTTAATTGGAGATCTTGTCCTTTTATTACATGAAGCTGGTGGGGGTTCTGTTTTTCTATCCCTAGTTCTCACCCCTATGATGAATTGCAACTTGCTAGCACTGCCCACCTAACTCAGTATAATGTACTGTATCTCTGGTTGCTTCTTAGGAGACAGCCTCTGGTTCTGGTCAGGTTACTGAGATTGCTGAGGTCTCAGCACGTCCTATGCCCAAATTATATAGTTTATGGTACTCTCTAAGCACTCCACATTACACTTTCAAAAGTTGACATTAAAAATATTGTGGTGTGATGGTCAGAGTGCAGTAAGGTGAAGTGTGTTATTGACAAGTCAGAAATAATTTAGGAGACCTGACTGGCAGATATGCAACAGTAATTCCAGAACAGAAGTAGCAATAATAAATGCCCTTTCCTCCACACCCCTGAGAAAGGCAGCATTTCAGAAGTGGCAGAGGTAAGGAGTGCTGAGAAATAGCACACTTAACTATTTGCCATAAACAAAGGAAACCAAAAACGCTGACCCAGTTGGTGGGGGCGGGTCTACTTAAAAACTTTAAAGTCACTGGGATTGTCCCATACTTAACCCATGTAGGAAATTAGTGGTTTAGATCAAGGGAGACGTGATGAAAAAAAGAAAAGAAAAGAAAGAAATACATGAAATAAATTGGAACAGTAACTATAATCTTTTGGCACCCATTTTTTTTTTTATTTGCACTTGGCAAAATAAACTTTAAGAGACTGGAAATTTTCTCAAGAAACCCGATTTTGCTTTTCAAAGCCTTTATAGCACTAGCTGTTTTTATATTTAAGAGCCAATTGTGGTGCCTTTCTTTAACATACTAGATGGTTACTACATTTTCTAATTTTCAAGAGATTTTGGGCGGGCAGAGTGGCTCAAGTGATAGAGTGCCTGCCCTGAGTTCAAACCTTAGCACAGCTGAAAAAAAAAAAAGGAATTTTATTTTTTGATAGTGGCGGCTACTGAAAATTAGTTTTTTAAAGTATTAAAATTCCATCCAAAGTTCTTACTGTAAGGTTCTGTTTAAGCTCCATGGCAATTGTTCAATCAAATATATCCAATTCAGTCATGACTGTGTTTCATTCTATTTATTTCCTTCTTTTTTCCCATCCCCATCTTTCTGCATTAATCAAATCCCCTTGGATGAGCTGTTGACATCAGGGTGGGTAGTTGGGGAGCCCTTTAATTCCCACTGTAGATGACAATCTTACCAACCACAGGCTCCACATCCGTTACCTCCCTGTCAAGGGTAGAGACATTGAAGAAGCTTGCTAAACTGATGGGAGCCCAGGCGAAGGGCATCCGGTATTTCCCCAATCGCTGGCAGAAGGATTCAGCTTGAAGTTTGAGTTTTTCAACTTTTTCTTTACTCTGGAGGGAAATGCAAAGAGAAGAGCTGAAGCAATGTGACAGCAGCACCAAGCCAGCTGCCTCTGACGTGTTCTGACAGCCATCTCCAAAGGCCAACTCCACTAATTAAAGAGAGAATAAGCAGAAAAATGACTCCACTCTGGCCAGAAGTGTTGCTGGTAAGACAGTCGGGATTATAAAAGGAAGAGATTAAAGAAAGGCTACATTCAATTAATAAACTGTATCTTCTGCTAAAAATGAGATGTCCAAGGCTTGACTCACCAACGAATCTGTAACTGATTCTTTTAGGTCTAGTTTTATGACTTGGATTATCTTGATAGAAAGTTGGGAATAAAATTTAGGATACCATCTACCAGGATCCCAGGAGATCATGTTTTACAAAAGTTGACTTGAAAACTCCAAAAAGATTTATAAAGATTTCTAGAACTTCTTTAAGTTGATAACACCTCCAAGGTGTGCTAAGTTCAGACTAAGTGAAAGATCTTCCAACACAAATATCTTGAGTTCAATCAATTTTATTTGAAATTTATGAGTCTGATCAAGAAATTCTTATTCTAAAAGGCCGTGTTCTAAAAATCATATTGGAAACCTAAAAGGCAAATTGGTGCTGAGAAAAGATGTTCTTTTCATGGTGTAGGTCCTATAATGTGCTCATTAATTTATGGTGTACAGCAGTCCCAGCCTCTCCCCAACATTAATAATGGATGACCCTATGCTTCTGAGGCAGGTCAGGACAGATCTGGCCCCGCTGAATTTTATGGAGTCTCTATTGTCCTCCCAATTGGGCCAAGCCAGGCATGGTGGCTTACGCCTGTAATTATAGCTACTTGGGAGGTTGAGAGCAGGAGGATTGTGGTTCAAAGCCAGCTGGGCAAATAGTTTGTGAGTCCTTATCTCAAAAACCCCCAATACTAATAGGGGGGATCAGAGCGAACCAAGACAACAGGACAAGGCTTTTCCTAACCAAGTTACGTAGTTATACATTGGTACATATCACCATTACTGAGTTCAACAATCTATTTCTTTCAAAGATTACCATCAATAACTGGTTTCTCTTTGTTTAAAAACTACTTCTCAGTGCTCCGTATGGGGACACGATATGTTCTAAACCCCACTAACATTTCTGAAAATATTTGCTTATTCTAAGATGTCACATTTAGTAATACTCAAATGATCATACCTTTCCACCATCACTTTCTTTGATAACCATGTAGGGTTCTGCACAGTCTGCAATCTCTCCCTGCTGAAGGACCTTTTCAATCTACCAACAAAAATAATAATAAAATAAAATGAGTAAATTACCTCCATATAATAGAATTATCCAGCCATTAAAATTATGTTTAATGACAATATTTGATGACATTGAATGTCCACAATATGTATTTCCTGATTTAAAAAAATAATGTAAAGAATAACATACAGTTTTATAAGAGGAAATCATAAAGGCATGTTTAAAGGATGATAGCAGATACACAGCAAATGTTAACAGTGGTTATCTTGGTACAGAGGGATTATGTGTGATTTTTATTTTCTTCCTATTGCTGACCTGTAGTTTCTATCTTTAAACAATGAACATGTATTATGTCCCTAATAAAAAAATGCAATAAAAGTTATTTTATAAAACAAAACCCAGGGGACATATGTAGGAAGTGAAAAACTAATTTTCTTTATTACTGCTTACAAAGTAAAAAAGAGATATGGACTCTGTAAAAGTCAGGTTGGGAACCAAAAGCCTCCACAAAAATGAATAAATGAACAGAATAAATTGCCTGTTAATTGTGTTCTGTATTTCCTATAAAGGCTGTTTCTCTGGATTTAACAGGTTCAGAAAGAAACTCAAAAGCATTGAGATGGGCTTCTCAATTCGCTAACTGGCCATAAGATGGAGAAATGTCACCGCCATCAGGCATCCTCTTTCCTTATGCTTCAGGAAAAGGAGCCGGTGGCTAACAGCCATAAAGTAAGGCACCATGTTTAGAGAAAGAAAAGGAGGAATTTGGAATCCCTAACTCTCTGTCAAGGAAAAATTAACTTAGATGTTGATAAGAAAAACAAGTAGATTCAGTTTTATTAGATTGTGTCATTAGTTGAGGTGATCTTTGAAGAAGAAATTGGGTCACCGTGTCCCATAGACACACATCATTCTTTAAAAACATCTTCATTGTGGTAGCTGCTGGGGAGATCAGGTGGTGGGCACAATAAATGGAGTCCCCATTCTCCCAAAGCACTAATCAGAAGCTAGGAGAACAAATTGGAAGGAAATATAGTTTTTCCACGATGTGAATGGATAAAAACATGGTCTTTAAAATGAACTTTAGCCAGAGATTAAGAATCTTTCAATTAGGACACGGAAGCAAGGAATGGGAATGGGAATTATTTGAAACCTATGAGAAGGGTCCCAAGAGTCTGGAAGCAGTAGAGTCAGATGTGACTGGGGCTTGAACTGCTGTCCCCTTCACTGCATTGGGCCAGGGTGACTCCGAATGCTTTATGAGAGGGAGCTGACATGAGGCCCAGCACACGGTCCTTTGTGGTGATGTGTGAAAGCATGTGCAATGAAATGCATGAGTTCTTATAAGTGTGGGAGGTAGGGCACAGGTGCACGTGAGAATCGTCCGGGATTTTTAAGGCAAAGAGACTGCCTTCTGCTCTTTTCAGGATGGGTGGGTGGTTCAATGCCTGGCTTGTTTATTTTTAAACAGTTTTTTTTTAAAAGCTTGAGGTTCACCTCCATTCCTTACTTATGAAACAAATCCTTTCATCTGCTTCACAAAATCTTGAACTAAACCTTTAAGCCTGAAATAATCCCTGCAAGTAATAGAACTGGCACTATCTGAACTAGTTGACTCTACCTAAAATATGATTAAGATTCTGGTGCTCAGCTTGGGAATAAAAACCAGAAAGAAAGAAGCCCTTCTCTCCCAAATGATATCTGCCTGGATGTACCAAGTATTACAACACCATTTACTATATGTTTTGAGGAAAAGCAGCAACCATGCTGCTCTATAACTAAGACAAAAAGGCTGGGGATGCTGCTCAGTGATAGAGAGTTTTGCCTTGCATGTATAAGACTCTAGATTTGATCTCCTGTACCACAAAAATAACAAAATAAACAAAGACAAAAAAATAGAAAGCAAACCAGGATTGTCTTGCTATGTAGATTTAAATTTCTTAATTACATCCAGATAATTTAGAGTATGTTATTGCAAAATGATGCATTAATACACTGGAAAAATTGGAGTCATATTTAGTCAGTGGTAGTAACCAACAGAAACCATTGTTATTTGGCAGATGACTGTGGCTAGTCAAATGAAGCCATTTATTGAGAAGAAGAGTTTGAAACAGAATTTAGCTCCATAGACCCAGTGTTGGTTTTATTGGTTTCTGAGGCTGAGAGAGAATTGTGAATGTGACTATGGGGAACTGCAGTGGTATTTAAGCTAAATTCCTTGTATGTATAAGTAATGCTGCAACAAAAAGGACATGCATTAATGTTTGACAACAACACATTTTTAAATTTTTAGGCATGAACTGTTTGGATGTGACTCAGCTCCTTTTCCCTCTTCTTTTCTCTCTGTGTTTTATTGTGATCAGAGTGAGCTTTTTAAATGAAAGTTGTGGATTTAAACATTTTTTATTTTGTATTTTTTTGCAGTGCTTGGGATGCAGGCCTTGGGATGGAACCCAGGGCCTCATGCACATGCACACTGAGAAATGTTCCATTGGTGGGCTACACTTCTAGCCTGGGCAATAGATTATTAACCATACTTTTCATAAACTTTAACAAGTTCCCTTCAAGCGATAGTAATCAGTCATAATCTTTGCAAAACGCTGTAAAAGAAGTGATCTCCAAGATACCTGAATTCTTTGTGATCTACAAGCTACTACCAAAAAATTGTGAACTGATGGAATTACAGGCATAAGACACTGAGCTAACAGAAAACGTTCGACCCACAGGAGGCTAGGTGTACATGAAATCAGACACCTGGGTTTCTTCTTTTATTTTGTTTTACAAAGTTGTTTTACAACTTTGGCGTAATGTGTCAATAAAATCAATTATTTGGCTTTAGGTTTGTTAAATATTGTTTGTTGTTAAATTCTAACCATTTTGGTGTATAGAAAATGACTCTGGTTTTCTTACATCAGCAAAGATACAGTCTAGAATATAAGTTTCTTGTAAGGGTCCCTTCACTACGCACAACCTGTGGGATGGTGATAAAAGGGAAGAGTGAAACTCGGAAACCACAGCCCACTCCTCAAATTGTCAGTGAAGTGACTTTCTTGGAGCCAGAAAGCTGAGGACACTCTCTTAGGAGAAAGAGCCAGGCTTTATCTGTAGTCATGTCCCATTGAGGTTGGCATGATAATCTCCACTTTATGGACGCGGAAACCAAATCTCAGAAAGTTTAGGCAGTAGACAGTCGTATAGCTACTCAGTGCAAAGCCAGGATTCAAACCTGTAGCGTTCCAAAACTCATCTTTCTAGAATCCCAAACAGCATTTACTTGTAAGGGAAAGGGGGTAAGTTGAGGAAGAAGCAGCCCAAGTCTCATAGAGGACACGGAACACATTCTGTCATTTCTTTCAGTCCACATATGTGCTGGAAATAAACAACAATGAGAACAGCAGAACATGGAAATCAGATTGTTCATATCTACCTTGACTACCAAGTAGATGTCTGGGGATGGGTAGGTGACCGAGAACACCGCAGATCTTGCCTGACTCGATGGGTCAACCAAGGGTGTATGAGCTCGCAGAAATCCTTTAAACTGGTCGGAGTTTAGGTCACAGTGAAAATTTTCTGAGATCTGTAAATGAACAGCAAAAGGGAAAAATGAGTTAGACTTGCTGTGTTTCTGGTCTGAATATGTTAAGACAGAGTGAAAAGCTACAAAGAAATTTCCTTAAGAAGAAAAGTGTAACTATGGGATATGGTGTATGACCAGTGGCTGCAGGAAAATCTGACAAATATTTTGTCACGATTTTAGTATATTTTGGAGCCATTTGAAAGCGACTCCTTGGAACAGTTAAAATTTGATCAACCCATCAGTATTTTCTGAGTGATGTGCTAGGTACTGCATCAAAGAAGAGCAGGATGGCTGGGGCGTGGTTCAAGTAGTAGAGCGCCTACCTAAGAAGTGCCAGGCCCTGAGGATTAAAAAAGAGCAGGCTGCTGCCTATGCTTTTAATTAGCTTAAAATCAAGAATGAGGAAGAAAATGATGGAGGGGGTGAATTCAACTAAGATATATTGTAAGAACTTTTGTAAATGTCACAATGTACCCCCAGTACAACAATAATTTAAAAAAAAGAAAAACAAATAAAGGATGAGAGAAAAGGCCAACATATAACTAACAAGAGTAAAAGCAAAGTAACAGTAACTGTGTTCATACAGAGAAGCAGAATGGAGGTTCTAGAAGGCGAGAGAGCATTGGAGTGTCAGGAACGCTCTCATGGAAGAGGCACTGGAGACAGATGACTCTGACTGCCATAGGCAGAGCTGGAGGGGGACAGTGTGCCAGGGATAGCACAGGTAACTATCTCAGGGGCTGGAAGACCTGGAGCAAGCTTAGGTGACAGTGAGTAGACTGGCTTCACTCTGGACAGGTTATGGAAGGTAACAAGACAGATGAGAGCCTTAAGGAGGTAAGCAGACATGGATGCTGAATGGCGTGTTCTTAATTGTAGGTGGTGGGGTAACTGTAGGTAGTAAGGACCCATTAAGCATTTTGAGCTATATCATGACATGATCAGTGCTCATGTCATGACTTTCTAATTTAGGGTGACTTAAGAGCCACTGTTGGGTTCTTCCCTTCCTCACTAAGAACCTTTTAGTGAGAAGGGTCTGCCTAGGAAGAGACTACATTTGCCAGTCTCCCTTGTAGACAGGAATAATCACATGACTAATTATCTTCATTCAATTGTGATCATAAATAATGGGTCCACTTTCGGGCCTCCTTTGCCCACCCTTTCCCTTATTGGGGGCAGCAACAGCAATGACAGGAGTGATTTGGGGAGGGTATGCATTGAAGATGAAGGAGCCACTTCCAGTCTGGGTTCTTGACTGACTGAGTGGAGTGGAGGCACTGCTGGCCTGGCACCCACACCTGGATTGTTAAAAAACAAAGACAGAAAGTTCTTGTTCCTTAAACTGGTGGGGTTTATCAAAATGTGATCCCCTGACCAGCAACCACAGCAGATACAAGAAACTCTGGGAATGCTGGGACCTGGGTGTTTGATCAAGTCTTCCAGGTGATTCTACAGCATACTCACTCAAGTGTGAAAAGTACTGCTCTAAAGCCCTGAATTTGGGAATGTATTTGTTTAAACAGTTAATCTACCTATACTAATACAAATACCGTTGGTTACTCATATTTTCTTAAGAGCTACACATTTCCTTCAATACAGAGTGGCTGTGGGAAAAGGGCAGAAGCATCTTTCTTTAGTCTTGTCATCCTTGTCATCCTCTCAGAATCACAAAGTGACTGAGCATTAAAACCATCATGGAGAAGTCTTCTCCTGGGTCATTGAATTCTTTTCAATGAAAAACACTTTACAGTTGGTGAGGGCTTCACCCTGAAGTAAACCTAACTCTTTCCTACACAAAATACCCACCCCTCGCAATGACCCATGTGACAGTGAGGAAATGCTACATGCATATCCAAGCTAGTGAAAAACTCATTTGCTTTATTTTCTTTTATGCATAATCCCATGTCCTGACTACTGTATTTCTCTCTCTATCCCAACCAGGCCAATTGGCTTTCTCCTTAAATGTTCTTCAAAGAACACAAGTGATGAACGATCCCAGATTATTACTTCAAAAATTGCAAAGACACTAGAACTGAAGCCATCAAAATTCATTTGCTTTCAAATCTGATGTGTTTTTCTGCTGCATAGAAGTGGGATTTAAAACATGAAACCAAAGAATCATGAACACTGTGTGTGCCTCTGGGGTGGGTTTTTTTGTTTGTTTGTTTTCTTACCTTTTTCCTTTCTTTAACATCGTAGAGGGCGATACTGGCAAACAGAGGTTCAATTTCAATTTCAAATCTGTCAGAGAAAGAGAGAGAAAAATCATTATGGTTTTAATCTAAATGATTTTGAATTTTCTGAAAGTGCCTGGATATATAAGCTGGCTAAAATGTAAATCGCTTCTAGAAATACTTAACACCTTGCATATGATAGTTATACCAGGATATAATGGAGGCTTATGGAAAATTTCAAATCACTTTAGGTCATGGTGGCTGGTATAGTCTCCCAAAAAAACACTTGGTGGCACTGCAAGAGAGAGCAGGCTGAATGGACCTTTGGTCTGATCCAAAATAGTTTTCTTTGAGGTACTAGGTTGAGGGCCTCGAAAATGCCAGAGTTCCTTTACCTCTGAACTACACCCCAGCCCAAATAGTACTGCTTGTCATCTTAGCTGCTGTGCTTGAGAGGATTCTTCAGTCATGGGCTTGTTTACATTTCACTGCTGGGAAAGAAACTCTACTAGTCAATTCTAAAGGATGAAGCTTTTCAGATAATAAAACAAAGAAATGTTTAATCGTTTTTCCTCAGATTTGTGCAGGGACAGTCAGAAGATTGGGCCATGACATAGATGATTCTGGCCCTCCTAGCTCTGTTGCTCAGGCTGTTGGATTGAGCGTTGGATTGAGCTAGGGAGGGAAATGAGCACTGAAGATAAACCTTGAGTAGCCTGAGCCCCGAGGAGCCCTTTGGTGCTGAGTGTAGCTAAGTGGTAGAACACTTGCCAGGACCTGGGTTCAATCCCCAGCAAAAAAAAAAAAAGAAAAAAAGGAAGGGAGGGAGGGAGAAAACCAGAAAAGAGTGAAGACGTCTGGATCACCATGACTTTAGAAGACATGAAAATTACGCCAAATTTTATTTTAAGGTATGTGTGACAGATGGCCTTACCATTGGATAGCTTTGTGTCAATAGAGGACTTTTTAGAAGAGTATTTGGGCAAGACCCAAGTATAGACAAAGGGGTTAGTTGGTTAGATGGCATCTTTAGCAATGAGGCACTTTGACATAATGGCAGATTCTGCTAATTCTAGGATCCTAATCAGGTTACTTGCCTTTCCTAGTTCCATTCACTTATGTGGAAAGTGAGGAAAGGACATGTGCTCTTCCCATGTTCCAGGGGTGTTGTAGAATCATGGAAGATAATGTGTATGACTGTACTATGAAAACAGTGTCAAGCAGCAGCATTGTTCACCAGAACACAAAGGTGCCCACTGACAGATGAACAGATAAACAAAATGGTATAGTATGTATAATAATATCCCATTGGATATATAAATATACATACATATATATGCAAAATGGTATATTTATATGTGTTTGGGTATGTATATACACACATACATACATATAACAATAGTGCATAATAGTGTATTTGTACATATGTGTGTATATATACATAAAAATGTGTGTATATGTGTGTATGTATATATCATATATAGATGTGTGTAAGTATAATCATACACATATATATTCCAGAAGATGAAAATCTTCTGGAGATGAATGACGGTAAAGATTGGACAACAGTGTACACGAACTCAATGCCAGTGAACTGTACATTAAAAATATTAAGATGGCAGGAGGCATGGCTCCAGTGTTAGAGCACCTGTCTAGCAAGCACAAAGCCCTGACTTCAAACTCCAGTCCCAGAAAAAAAAAAAGATTAACATTTTCTGTTCTACACATTTTAACACACACACACACACACACACACACACACACACACGGGCTTTCCTATGCTTACTAGGCTCACCAACTGTTGCTGGCATGGTCACCCTGTATTTAACTGCATGCTCCCTGATAGCCAAAAGGTCTGAATATTGCTGTGCTTAGGTAGGGACTGAATGTTAAGCTCCCTGTGGTTCAGAGAGAGTGAAAAAAGAAAATTAGCATTTTTTAAGTACTTTACACATGTCAACTCCTTTACTCTTCACAAATATCTGTAATTCAGACATAACCCTATATAAGGAAATTGAAGTGGGGAGAAATCAATTAATTTGACCAAGGCCACAAAGTTAGGAAGTGGCACAGTCAGGTTGTGAAACCAAACCTTTCCTAACAGAATATAGGCTTTTCTACCAGTGTTTTTCCAACATAGTTCCCAGATAGAAGTATTTGAGGCAAAAAAGGAGTTTGTCACCATGCAGTTTTTTTTTTGGTTCCACCTGATACCTACTGAACCAGAATTTCTGGGGAGAGATGGGAGCCTCCCAAAATCTGCACATACAAGGCCCTGGGTTTGATCCCAGCACCAAAAAAGAAAAGACAAAAAAACAAACAAAAAAAAATCTGCATTTAAAACCAGCTCCCAGGCAAATAGTTCATCCTATCTTGAAAAACTCACCACAAAAAAAGGGCTGGTGGAGTGACTCAAGTGGTAAAAGTGTCTGCCTAGCAAGCATCAGGCACTGAGTTCAAACCCCAGTGCCACCAAAAACCAACCAACCAACCAAACAAAAAAATTCAGTTCCCTGGGTAAATTTAATGTACACCAAAATTACACCACCAAGAAGATTCCTCTGAGCTGAAGTTACTTTAAATAAAACGGTATTAAATTTTAAAATTAAAAGATTTCCCTACCTAAAATGCAAAACAGAAAAATTCTCTGGTCACTTTTTCTCTTGCTCCTCTAAATACTTGCAGAATTGGCACCAGCTTAGTTATCTCTGTGTCCTTGAAGCCTTATCTATTTCTCAAGAGACAAACATTGACAGTTATTGATCTTGACAACTTTTTAGAAATTCCCTAGCTGATAAAATATATAGTGTTATAAATAAAATTTTGTATATGTGTGTCAAAAATAAAATGTGTATTTAATATTATCATTAATTTTTACTGTTCATATTTAAGATTTATCTGTAAGAATTTATTTATTTTCTTTTTATCCAGTTTACTTAAGATGGTTATACCTAGGACCATCTCCGTGGCAGGTATATGAGTACTGTGGACTGTTTGCCAATTGAGCAGGCCAAGTGCACTGGACAAGCACATTCGTTCTATCTAACTTCTGCTTTGGCAGCTGGAGGAACATCACTAGAAACTACATTTGACATTTTTCATTAAGAGAAATCCAGGCGATTCCAGTGAGTCATGTTTTGCCACCTGTAGGAACAGCTGCCGTCCATTTATTGGGCAGACCTGGAAGGCTGATGACACAGCACAGAGGAGAATTCCTCCAATCCCAAGTGGTATTTAAAAGTGGCCTGAGTATGCATCCTGTGGGGGTGAATGTGGCAGGCCACAGACAATAGACTAGACTTCCTGAACAATGCGGAGGAGAACAGTCATCCCAGACAGTCCTCCTGCTGATGGTTGACTCCCAAGGCTGGAGTCTGTCGTCTGTGCTGACTACTTGAAACAGAGCTGCTTTATAGGCTGATCACTTATGTGCACAAGACAGGGCCTTTTGGCCCTGACATCCCTACTTGCAGAACTGGCTACAGAAGAGTATCACAGTGAGCACCCCTACCTGGGTAGAAGCCATGCTAGCTCACCATTAGAGGCAAAAGAACTGAAGGAAACAGCTCATCAGAATCACAGGAGGATAGACCGTGTGGTGTAGCAACTTCATTTACAAGTAAGAACTCAACAGCCCAGAGAAGGTTCCTGGGTTGAATCACAGTGCTGAGTGTAAATCCAAATGCTTAACCGAAATCAGGCACTGCTTAAGGGATCCACACACTGACTTCCAGGGATAGATCACCCTCCCAACAGTGCATGAAAAGTGCCGGGCCTATGGTTTTTTGCAGGGCTGGGGACTGAATTCAGGGCCTCACACACACTCAGCCCATCCTCTGCCACTGAACATTTACAACTTTAATATTTTCAAAGGGTCTACGATTTGAAGAAGTGGTTTTCTAATGTAGCAGTCTGCAAAAAGGAAGAGCGATTTGCCAGCACTCCAGGAGATACGCAGGCCAATCCACTGGAGTGTAAAAAAATACTAGTATTTTTGGCTTTATTTACTTCATCTTTAAACTTTCTAACTTAATGAATGTTTTATAATATAGATAATATTTTAATATGCAAGTACAAAATTTATACAATATGTAGAGAACCTGTGACTTTTTTCCATAAAAGTGCACAATGGGAAAGTTTAGGGATAACTTTTT